GTCCTGCCTACCCGGGCCCTGCCGCTAGAGCATGCCGTCGCGCGAGTCTGCCGGGAGGCTGGCGTGAATGTCGATGTGCCCGTCGCAGACGCCCGGCGCATCGAAGTTGTCGCGAACGGTCTCCCCCTCTGGCGCGGGTCCCAACTCGCCTCGATGCCACTATCGTGTCGCCCCTCACGCGGCTTGGCGAGGCCCACCCTCGTCGTGCCGATGTCCAGCCCGGCTGCATGTGCGGTCAGTGCCGCCGCGCGCTCGGCGTCGAGACTGGCGGCAGGTTTGGCACTGAGACCGTGCAGCTCCTGCGCCTGCTCGCGCGACATAAGGCGACGGCTGTTCCTGCCGCATCCAGACCTGCCGCGATCACCGGCTGGGTTGCGCGCTGGTCCGGGCTCTTGGCGGTCGCAGCTCAGCTCGCCTTTGCGGCCTCTCGCCTCGAGCTCCCCCCCGCCGCCGAGCTCGGAGAAGGCCAGTTGCACGAACTTCTCACCGAGGCGCGCTGATACCACGCCTAGCAGGCGGTGTCCTCTCACTAGCTGCGCCGGCGCTACAATGTAGGGCGCTTCGGCACAGGGACCTGCGTCGAGACATTACTTGCGGTTAAGAAGGCGCGTGAAAACAAATCCACAGACTTAGCCTGCCCTGCGTTATGCCTCGTGGTGCCGTCGCCTTTCGGCGTCAGACTGCCAAAAAAAGAAAAACAGAGCAGATTTATTGTCGTTACTGCTCGGTCGAGCACTCGTTGTAAGATCTGTTCCCACCACGAGTTCTTTTCGCGGCTTGCCTCCTGCCTTCCTCGAAAGATATTGGGTTCAGCCCTTGCTTCGCCCAAACAACGTGTTGGCACTTGCCCGTCTTCTACTTGTACCACGTTTCCGCTCCCAGTGCCCTGCTTTGGCAGCCTGGAAAAAATTCGCATTGAAGAGACCCCTCCGTGTTATCGTTTGTGCTCTCAACTTTTTGCACGACGGCTGCGCCTCACCCAACGAGAGGCTCCTGTGGAGTTCGCCAAACAGGCACCAGAGGCAAGCGTGTTGTGACCCTGACGAGCATCCTTCCGTTCTGGTTGCGATTTGCTGAGCCGGCCCCGCTCGCTGTGCGTTTCTTGTTAGATCAGCGATGTTACGATGTTTTCCTAAGGTTAGCATATATGCATGCCGCGACGCACGGCTGCTCAAACCTTGTGAACACGATTAGGTCTGTGGCTCGCGGCCCTGATCCTCGCATCTTTCGCTGAACTTGAGCGTGAGGTTTTCGGTGAGCAATTGGATGTTGTGAACCTAAGCGGTTAGTTGCCGCGCTCGCTTCCGTCTCCAGTTCCTACGGTTGAGTTTTCACGGTTGAGTTTTCACCGCTCTTGCTCGTGGCAGCGGCCACTGGGACATGGTTTCCTGGCTGGATGGGGCTTCTGTTTTTGGACTCGGCGGTACTGGCCGCGGTACTGCATCATGAGTTCCCCTTGATGTGGCTGTACTTCCCCGTTTTGAGTTTGAAAGCCGCTCTGGGAACTTCTGGTGAGATTACTTGTGGAGCATAGCACTTCAAATATAAGAAGCACCGGAGCCTCACCAGAGCGGCAAAGGCGTGCTGCAAGGAAGCCGGACCGTCGTGCAACCCATGCCATCCGGGCAGCTTCACGGAGAGGTGGGCTCCCGAGGGTTGGCGCCGTGCAACGGGCCTGTCGCCCCTGTCGCCGCAGCACCGCGAACTGCCACGGACGCTGTCTCCGTGCTGTGCCAAAACATGGGCCGAGCCGCCTGCCGCTACGCGGCCTGTACGGACGTCATAGGGTAGGAGGCTGTGCTGAAACGAGCGGCAGGCCCGTCAGACCCCTGCCAAGAAAAACGGTTAGTGCAAAAAAACATGGTTCAATTCGCGCGAAATGCATATCGCCGGCCCCCGGGGCAGCTTTGCATTTTTTCCGTGGAGTCCCACGTAACACTCGCCAGGTGCTTCGCGATCAGAGAGACTTGTACCACCAGGCCCGTGCTTCTGTTGCCCGCTCCAGGTCCAATGCCCTAGCCTTCAGTTACTCTGTTTCCGAGCTCTTCGGGTCTGATGGGTCCCTTCAGCCCAAAAGCCGTCTGGCACTTGAGCGAATGTTGACCTCTTTGCGTCGCCAATTTCTATCCAGGTGATCATCGTTGCCTTGAGTTCACCTTAATTGGAGGCGCATGCTCAACTCCTAACCACCCGAATAAGTAGCTTGCTGTTGCGGAACACAGAGCCGCCTCCCCTAGCATCTTCCGCGCAGGCTTTAGTCATCGATGATCTGGTTAGTGTAAGCTGTGTCCCTTTGTGCCATTCGGGCGAAAGTTGCGTCGCTGAGCGCCTGCACCAGCGAGCTCAGGAGGTTTACAAGGTTGCAGAAGTCGAGGGCTTCCCTGAAAAGGATATCGTTGCAGCCGATCACTTCCAGGCCATGGGCGCTGAGTTTGATGCACGGCCTGAAGTTGTTGCTTCAGGGCTTGTGTCGCTTGCCGCCCCAACCTCCAGGAGGATCCCGCTTGCACTTTTGAGCCTTCAGGCCGCTTCTTTACCTGTTACCTCTGGCAAGCGCTGCTGTCGATTAGCAGATGCGTGGGTTGCTGCAGCTCTCTTCCAGGGACTAGTTTTATGGGGCTTTACAGCCGGGTTTTGGAGGAAGCCAAGCGAGGGTCTTGACCTCCAGGTCACGAGGCCTCAATCTCGAGCACTCGCCCTGTCCTTGCCCCACCCTGTGCTTCTGACCTGACTGCCTAAACCCTCTCAAGGGTTGTTGCTACAGATGGATGCTTCTTTCGGTCGGGGAGCTATCTGTGAAGCTGCTGTGCCGATTGAGCTTTGTTTGCTCGATCTTTCCGGAAGAGTGCTGACCGACGGAAGCTTGCTTCCGGGGCCTCTGCTGCCCTTTGCGCAGTTAATGTTTGAAGACCTTATCGAGGGAGGACCTCGCGCTGCCGTTCCCTCGCAAGTTACATGTCGCCTTGATCTGCTGATCATTGATCGGGCTTCTCCCAGGGCCGTGTCCGAGCTTCTACACAGCTAAGCTCAGACATATCCAAAACCAAATCTGCATCATCACCGCTTCTGTGTTGCAGGCATGTCTCAGTACGGAAGGTTGGAATGGCGGGACAACTGCGGGACAGTTGGAAAACCACGGTTACTTCGACAAACCTTTGTGTCACATTTTGCATGATGCACGTCGCTTGACGTACAAATCTCAGAAAAACAGTGTGTAAAGCTTCAAGGCTCGGTTGGAATATCCGATGTCTTACTCGGGTCATGTAGCAGAGCCGTCAACCTTTCCAAAATCTTGAAACTCCTAGTCATCTTCTGATTCTGCTTGTGGTGCTCCAAAAGCCCGTCATTCGTCACTTCTTTGCTGGAGTTGAATTGAAAGCGCGCGGCGTCCGCCTCTCAGTTCCATCTCCGAAACAGTTCTCGACTGTTGTCGGATGTGTCCGTTGCATGCGGGAAAGTTGTTGGAGTGCGCAGGAGACACGAGTCTTCCGTGATGGAACAACCGCGTCATTATCAAACTCGTTTCGCTGCAATCTGTCTTGGAGCCACGAGAAAACTAGCACGACATGGTCTCGTGGTCACATGCTGCATCGAAGAGATGTGGGTGTGGGCCCGCAGACATGTGAATCATCACGAGCTGCTGGGTTTCAAAATTCTTGTGGTCGATGCTAAGGAACAGCGACTTGACGGCTGGGTCGCTGGAGATGGAATCGCTTTGCCAGGACATCGTTCGAGCCGGGTGCCGGGTGTGGTGCTGTCGCGGTGATGAACTGGGTTGCCATCGCTGGGGTTCTGCCTTTCTTGCTCAGGTTTTGGATTTCTTTGACGTCCGCGACGGTGCTCTTGTCGGACATGGTGTCGGTGGTAATGTGGATGCAATAGGTTGTTGGCCGTTCGATGTCTTTGTCCATCGTGTATCCCGAGGCTTCATTGCCATCCAATACTTGCTGAATAATCCCAAGCATGCCAAGAGGAGGACCGAAGCAGAACAGACATCAGACTTAAGACTTCTTGCTACTGTTACCGAAGGCTTCCTCATGGATTTGTTTGCATTGCGTCCGATGCCCGGGCTGTTTCTTCAAGAAGAGTCGGTGTGATTGTCTGAATGAAGCATGTGGCCTCGAGGTGCTCTGCAGGCAACTTTCAGGAGACCGTCGGCCATGACTTGCTAAGGTTGGCAGTTCAGTGGGCACTTCAATGACAGATGCCATGCGATATCATGAATGCAGTTGAAATCCTCGACGAGGCAGTTGTCGAAACTGTTTGCAGTTTGGAGCTCAGCTTGGTGCCTGCATGCCATATCCTGTATGCTTTGGCCAAGAGCACCAAGTGCCAGTGCCAAGGTGGTTCGCTTGCCAGAGATCGTCTCCTATTTCGATCTGTTCGGGGAGGCATTGTGCCAGTGTTCCATTCCACGGCCCCAAGATCTGATCTTGCTACATAGTGAGGTCTCGATATCCAAGCGGCTTGGTGCCAATGCCTCCTTTGCAGCCGTCCGGGTTGCCTTAGAGGCAAGTCAAAGACCGGCCTGGCTTGGCGAAACAGCTGTGCCAACCTGCCTTCAAGGCAAGCCGAGCTGCAGCCAGCGAGTGGGCAATTCGAGCACTGGCGGCAATAGAGTCGGACCATCAAGTTGGTGGCGGAGCGGTACAGTCGCACGCAGGAAACCTCAGCGACATGCAGTGGAACTTCGATTTGCATCCCCACATTCCGGCCTTGACATTGCCTAGTGCAAAAGCCTCAAGCGACAGATGGTTGGATGTTTCTGTACATCCATGAGGGCTTCTCTGAGGCTGTACTTCTCAGCTCCGACGACGAGCGGGTACCGTGATTCTGCTCAGCTTGTGTCAACCCATTATGAGAGGAATCGATTCTGCTGCAATTTAGGCGCCCGACTGCATTGAAAGATGGCTTCGAGGCCTCCGGATCCTTGCGTTGGTCTCCAAGCTTTTGCTTCGCCTGGCCGAGCGGACCACTTGTTTGCTAGATTGTGTGGAACGACTAAGGGGCATTCAAGCTCTTGCAAGATGCAGGCCAAATCCCAATAGTTTCGCCGCTGTAGGCCACCTAGAGCGTGAAACATGCTCATGAGGCCATTTCCTGCCGCTGACGAGCTTGATTCTTGGTTGCTGCAGGAATACTTCTTCGCGTATGATGAGTGAACGTGCGTACTGGGCCTTTTTGCGCAGGGGCTGACGAGGTGTCACAGATTGTGGCAACGGCACTCTCTGGCTAGACGGCAGAGGCAGTCCTTGCCGCATTCCCAAAGCGTTGTTCCAATTATTAAGGCACCTATATTGGTCACGGTGTTCTCTTGCAATCACAGGGTTTAGGGTTCAGGGTATATGGTTCGGGGATTGTAAGCTCCGAAAAGCTTAGATTTGAATATACCCTAGACTAGAGCCACCTTGTTCTACTTGTTAAGGCTTCAGCATTATAGGCTAAACCTGGATCGAGTTGAGGAATTATTGTTGATTCCTTCTCATTTTCTTTCTTTGGGCCTCGGAGGCCTAGAGCAACAAACGTTCAATTCACTGGTTTTTCTACACGGCCGAGGACTCGAATGATGGCTCCTCAGCGCTTCTTTAAACAGCCCAGAGGCCAAATAGCAAGGTTTTAGCTCCCAAAATCCATACCCTGAAGGGTTATTGGACCTTGAAACCCTACTATTTGGGCACGTGAACCCTTAGGGCACTCTATTCTCTTTGGTGTGTTGCAGAAATTTCTTGGGGTTGCAGACAGTTCCATGGCGGTTTTTATAAGGTCTAGAAGGCTCGGGGGCTGAACGAGAGCCCCAACAAGGATGTTATGTGTGTATTTCTCAAGATTTGGTATGCCGATTCTCCCGGCTGCGATTCCAGAACCCCAAGCTCTTGTCCCACAGGGCATCCGCGGCATGACGGACGTCCCGGATGCGCAGCAAATCTCCAGGAAGGAGGTGAGCTTGACGGGCAGCAGTCAACATTCTACGGAGGCAAGTTTGGTTGGCCTTTGTGTATGTCTGCGTAAATCTCCGAAATTACGTGCATGAAGTTTACCGCTGACGGCCCAGGCTTTGCCAAGTATCGATGTTAAGCTTCATCCGAATACATGCGACATCATTCTCGGCTAGCGCACTGTGGGGTTCTGGTCTAGTCTACTTCATATTCTTCGGCAGGCTAGCGTGTGAAGCTAATTCGTTGATGGCCGCTCTTACGTGGAGCTTTTCAGCGAAGACTCCACCATCGCCGGTCCCGGAAGGAGATGAAGAGGCGAAGAACTCTGTGTCAGTTTTGCGCCATGGCATGACAGATTCAACTTGCTTCGAGGTGAGCCCGATACACGGCGAAAGGCAGACTGGAATGGCCTTACCACAACAACACCATAGTCAAGCGAACATCATGTCAGACAATGGCGGAACGCGGCCAGGCTCAAAGATTTGTATCAAACAGAACCTTGCAACCTGGAGGCTCGGGCATGATTTGCTGGGCTGCCTCGTGCCTCCTTCCAGTGTGCAGGCTTTGTCTGGAGAATCCACCGATTGCAATTGCAGCAAGACCAGTGCATCTTCCTCCCAAGGCGCAGCGAATCTGTTTTTGTGCCCAGTCTGATGCTGTCTGTACCGAAAGCACATGGCCAACAACAAGAGCATGCAATTTCTCGTTCTTCATTCCTACTCCTACTCCTGCTTGGTCGAAAACCTGGCAAATACGTCGCCCAGGGTTTTTGCGCGAGGGAAAGCAGCACACGCAGAGGGTCAAGACGTTCATCAAGAGGAATTTTGGGCGTTGCTGGTACCATTCCAGGCGGATCTCAAATCCGTGCTAGATCTGCCGGATGCCAGATGAGCACAAAAGGGTCTTGGCATCTAGTCCCTCCGAAGCGTTTATGCGAGCTTCTCGGGAGTGGTTGTCTTACCTCGGTGGAAACTCAGGGGGTGCTCGCAGCTGCATGTGGCAAGTCCGGTACTGCCGCGTTCCGAAGCCGGACACCACGCTTCGCTCGGGAGCCCTGCCAGGTCGGGACCTCGAGAGCCCTTTGAGGGAAGCCAGGAAGCGAGCGCCAGGTCCGAGCTCCGCGGGCTCCGCGGGCTCCGCTCCAGGAGCTCCACCCGCGCTGCGAGGCGCTGTACTTGGAAGGTCGCTGCCGGCACTTGAGGCCTCGGTGGGCAGATTCAGAGATGGAACCTCTCTGTGACTTCGACAGCCAAGGCGAGAGAAAAGCAGTGGCAAGGAGCAAAAGCCGCCTGAGCTGGTGGAAGCGAAGCTGAAGTCCAAGACTCCGTCTCCGTCGGGAAAGGCTTGGGCAGAAGAAGTCCTCCGACGACACCAGCAACGGCTGCAGCAGCGAGAGGAAATGCGGCGCTGCAAGGCCAAATTGGCTTTGACATGTCTGGAAGCCTTGGTTGTTGATACCGTTGAGTCAGGCAGAGCAGCGCGCAGAAGAGGTCCTGTTCCTGCCGTACCTTGTGCTACTGTGTCGGTCATGTGCGAGCACAGCAATCGGCAGGATCTGAAGGAATGCTCGTTTGCACCAAAGCTCGTTTCTCGAAGCCACATTCAGCTGCAGATCAGAAAGGCCGGGGTCGTTTCGAGGTGGTTTTGCAGAATCTGCGGTACTCGCGGCATCAGGGGCGGCGACAGATTGAGCAGTTGGCGGAGCAGCAGCAAGCTATACTCTTTCGTCTCAATGGTTTAGAAGACGAGGACGACCAGAAATCGACTGCACCCTCGATCTGCATGGCTTGTGCCCAGTTGAGACAGGAGGTTCGCGCAGCATCCTTTGCACGCTGGTCGGCTAGCAGAGACGAGATGCTCGGCAAAAAGCTGGAGGGCAGACTCTTGCAGCCCGAGTGAGCACCCTAAGCACCAACCTGTCAGGAACCGATCTTTGCTTCTAGGGGAGCTTGCGCAAGTTGATGACGATGCCCACGATGTCATCAGAAGTTTGGTCAAACTGGGAATTCCGAGCGTCCGTTGCCGAGTACTTCAACCACGCTGTTTGGAGGTCCAGTGTAGCAGACACCTCAACCCCAGGTTCTCGAAGAGCCGGATCCCGGGACACTTTGCCCTCAGTACGATTCGGGGCTTCTCCGCCGGCTGCGAATGGAAGATGCATGGGGCTTTAAGGACGGGAGGCGGCTAACAGAGCTTTGGCATTATGGCAGCAACATGATGTGCAGATTCATGTTGTGGAGGAGCTGGCACCAATTCGAACTGCAGGTCCATTGCCTCCGGCGCAGGTCTGATTATCCAATCGAAGGGCCACTGCTCACAAAGACTCGCGAGTTACTGGAAAGTGTGGATTTGCGTCCGAGGCTGTGCATTTCCGGATGCACCAAATGTAGTGCAATAGTTTTTTAGTCTAGTGACAGCACAGAATCGAGCGACTGGATCTGTGTGTCGTGTCCAAAGGGCAGCCGTTTCATACCGTGACCGCACAAAAGATGCGCTGTTCCAGTCACGTGCAGCTGATTCGTACGTACCAGCCATCTTTTGCTGCAGTATGCTGCAGTTGTGTTGCAGGTGGGGAGGCAGTGCGACGCGGCAATGCGGTGGTTGGGCGACGAAGGTGGGAGGAAATGATGGAGGGCAAAGCGCTCCGCCCAGATGCAGGCAGTCATGAACGGCGACCGAGCTTTGCGCCTCAAGCCCCTATTTTTAACCCAATTTGCCGGCATTTCCTTTGAACTAGTTGCAGAAATCTCTGACCTACTGGTATGGTCTTCATTCTTCACCTGGAGTTGTCCAAGCTGCGAGTCGACACTTGGTCATGAGACTGCCGGCTTGCTAGCTCCAGCCCAAAGAGCGCTGCATGTATCTGCCATTTTGCTTTAAGCAGATAGCATGCCCGCCACGATCCAGATCTGAATGCTTTCCGGCATGGGGCTCAAGGTCATGAAGTCACGCGCGGGGATGTGCAGTCGCCCCATATCGCCCCACCACATAGCAGGTTCTCGACAAGAGCAGTCTGTGCCTTTGGATGCCGGATGCGCAGCAATCGCTGCAACCTGCATCCTCCTTTCGAGCCCCTTGGAACAGTTGGAAAGACTTGGGTATGTACCCGACTGTAAGAGCATGCCGAGCCGGCATATCAGAGTGCATTTCTTTCTCAGGCCCGTCGCGGTGGCCGGGTGGAGCTTTCCACGCTGCAGGGTTGCATATTGTGTGGCTGTGTCGAGCTAGTGCATGGTGAAGCTGTGTGGTGCGTCGCAACAAGCCGCCGAAGGGAGGATGATTTGGAAGATCTGCTGGCGTCTGCGGCTCAGCAAAGATCCGGAGAATCCTTGACCATTCCTGGCCCCAGTCCCCGGGCTTCCAGCCCTAGAGGGCTTCTGTGTTGTTTGCACTGCCCTGCACTGCCCTGCACTGCCCTGCACTGCCCTGCCCTGCCCTGCCCTGCTCTCTGGGCTGCCCTGCCCCAACCAGCCCCTCTTCCAACTCCCAACTTTCCAGCCTGCCAGGCCTTCAGCTTGCCAGTCTTGTATTCTTCATGCTTTCTGGTTGCTGATCGGCTTTTCGGCTTTCGCGGACGGCTTCTGGGATGTCTGGACTTGAGACTTTCTAGAGTTCTAGAGGGTGCGGAGAGCGGCCTTGAGGTTGCTGCAATTGCTGTTCGACAGAGTACACGCAATGGTCGAGACGAGCCCGTAGCAGTGTAGCAGTACCAGGGTGCATAACAGCACAACTACTTCATTCGGCTGAAGACGGGTCAGGGTTTCCATCGTTGAATCTTACTTTACGTGACCCCAATCTTTCGGAAGGCCCCATTGCTGGGCCCCATATCGCGGAGATCGCCAAACTGGCCTGTAGTGCCACAGTGGCCCACGTCGCCTCCGTGAGCAGGAGCCTCCTGCATTCGGTTGCAAGGGGCCCGTTCCTCGATGCGAACAGCCCTGGGGCCAAAGAACATAGCTTCCGTCCCCTGGTCACCGCAATGGAGGGCCTTTCCGTGGAGAATATACAAGCAGCCGAGGGGGGGAGGGGGCAAACCTGCCGACACTGACATCCAACATGGCAGTCCTGAGTGCTGCCAGGCCTGGGCCGAGAAATTCAACCGCCGGCCTTGGCCATCGTAGCCCACCTCTCGTCGTTCGAAGAATTTCACAAGCAGGTGTGTATGGGGGAGGGCCGATCGGAAGGGCTTGCTTACAAGCTGGGACCCGAGGGTCGCCTGCAGGTAAGGGCCCTTCACCCTAGCTGAAACCAAGCCAAGCCCTAAAGTAGTTTCAAGATTGCCCCCTTCAGGTTGATTTCAATTTCTGCTGCGCGGGATTTTGTGCCGATAGAAAGACACGCAACAAGTAATGATGATGTCGATAGCAGTGGCAGTGGTCATAGTAGCAAAACTATGTAAATGGAGTACCAAATCCTGGAAAACTTCCTAGATGGTGCCAAAGTATCGTCACAGAATTTGTCTTTGCTCGGTTTCGTTGGGGACTAACCCATCATACCAGCAAAGACTGCAAACAGTGAAGGCACGGCAGAGCAGTCTATGCCGCAACATGCCCAAGAACCATTCCAAGAGCTTCGCTGAGGTTTCCAAGAACTCCGAATACACCACCGATATGCACACGGCATTGCGGCGGAAGCATTCCGGGAGGCCCACGCGAACGCGACTTCCGTGGGAAGACGATTCGCACCTCAAAAACACTCGAAGCACAGTGGCCGGAGCACGATTACGGAAATTCCAAACCCCCCAGGAACGAAAGTATTTCGCGACCACCAGGAGCCCCGAGGAGGCAAGTGTCGTGTGGGCCTTCCTTCGAGCGTTGGAAGAGCAACATGAGGACAAGACGGTGGCAGGTGCCATATCCACCCAAATACGAAAAAAGCGGCGGAAGCGCTGTGCATCAAGTTCGCGGCCAGATTCGTAGGCGGATAGGCCTTCGGCGGGACTGCGGAAAGAAAGCGATTTGAGTCGAAAACGTGCACCGCGCCATGGCAGACAGGAAAAACAAAAAGCAATTCCACAATGAACTTACGAGGTAAAGTAGTTCTGCATCCTTGCTGAGTGTCTCGAAGGGTGCTGTATATAGCTCCGTCGGCATCAGGAAAGTGGATGATACAGTCCCAGAGTTTGATCCACAGGACGCGGAGCTCATGGCTTCTCGTGTTTCGTGGCTCCTCTTCGGATGTCCCCTCCAGGAGTACATCCGGCCGGGTGTTACAGAGGCACTCTCCAGCTTTGCGTGCGGGAATATCCCAGGCTCGAGACTCGAGCGCGCATGCAGGCGGAAATTCTGGAGATGAAGGGCGCCTTTGACCTGCTCGATGTAGAAGGCCCATGGCAGACTCCGGGCGCCACAGACTCTCTCTCTCTCTCTGCGGTTTTTGCTTCCGAGGTAAAGGCCGCCTGAACCTGGAGGAGAGGGGAGGGAGTTGGGCCCAACTCACGGCCCCCCGCCCCCAAACGCTAAAACACCTGACGTGCCCCTCTCTTTCGGGAGGAAGCCATCGACAACTTGGAGAACCTTGGATGGGACAGGCAGAGCAATGCAGAGCACACAGCGGCTCTCCTGCTCTCTCTTGTCTCTCCGCTTGTGACACACTTGTGCGACAGTTTTGGGAGGCTGGAGCAGGAGCCGTTGATGGTTGCTATCCGTGCTTGCCGGCGCAAAGCGCCGAAGACGGACTTTGCAGGAGATCTGGGCTTCTTATAAGATCTACGAATCATGTCAGTGAGCACATGTGCTATGCCGAGGGTTCATGGATGCGATTGGTCCGCTCCTGGCCGCGACTGAGCCTACCCAGGAGCTCGTCAGAAAGCCATGGCATAAGTGATCTCAATGATTGCCCCCTGGAATGGGGTCAGATTCCCCACATTCTTGATAGCTTGCCACATGTATCTGTGCGCACGGCTTCCTTCGTCAAGGCCGCACCTTTACACGGCTTCTCGCCTTGCCTCCGTAGTTTGGTTTGCAACGCGTGAAATGAGATCGATCAGTGTTTGGTGTAGATACCAGATTATCCAGCGGCTTTCCTTCATAATGCATACAGGAACATCTGAAGTCGATGCGAAAAAACGCAATACACGTGGAGAAAGGTGGTCTTCACTGCAAAGGCCACCCCAGAATCAGAACTCTAGTTGCATTCCGCGGAGTAGGTCTGCGTGCAGACAGTATCAGGAAAGTCAGCTCGTCGCTGCTCGTCTGTCTTTGTCAGGAGAGTCTGAGGCGCGCCTGGCGCCTCCTCGATGAAAACCGCAAGGGCCACATAGACATGGAGGATTGGGAGAGCCGTCGCAAAGGCTTCAGCGGTTTGGTCTCCGACAGTTGGAGGATCTGAGCCGAGTCGTGCACAGCTTTGGCCTGGAGCTCTCCGTCGAAGAACTCCGCGACATGGTGCAGAGCTTTCTGGAAAGTTGGCTTTTGTAACACTGATCTTCACATCCAAGCGGCTTTTAGGTTAGTTTCTGTGACAAGAACGGCAGCAGCGAGGCCCCTGCAGCCGTGACGCAGCTGCATTGCTCAAGATTCTCCCTGTGCAGATCACCTTCGACGAATTCTACCAGATGCTCTCACGCCATCAGTAGCGGATAGACACGGTGTCAGCCGCACAGGAGCTAACGAGCCTTTTGTGGCGTCTTTAACAAATTGGAGTGCCCAACTTCGGGACGTGACGTTTCACGAAGTTTCACACTTTGCCAAATGATCTTCTTGGCAGCCGGCCTCGCGCAAACACAGATTTTGTGCACATGACGGCGCGGCAAAATTGGTGTTCCCATTCTGTTCCGTGAGAGTGCTGCGCATGCAGAGCCTTCTGTCGCTCGTGCTGGCCTGTCGGAGCGGCTCCGGCCGGAACTCGCGATGTAGATGCCTTCTCGGGTACTAGCCTGCCCCCGATGGCAAATCCGAGTGCCCGATTCGAGACAACAGCAGGCCATGCTTGGTCAGTCATTGGGTTTCCTTAGCATGGGACGTGAAACTGCCAGGAGTTTTCACGGCGGAGATCTACTTGGATAGGGTGCCCCTTTCTGTGCATGGCGGCTACCTTGAAGTGACTGCGGATTTTGGAGTCTTGTGGAGTTGCCGGCTGCTGAACACTACCTCCTTGCACCGCAGCTTGATGGCTTCTTGTTAGTTCTTATCAGCCAAGAGCTGAAATCATGGGTTGGACGTGGGCATGCTGGAGGTGATGTGATGTGCAACCGGTTTAGAAAACGAGAGCGAGAGTGCAAACCACAGCGGTGTAGCACACGTGTGTGCGTAGGTACAAGCTCTAGCGGGCGACCGGCGCAGCTATCGCCGGCTCGACCGCTTTCTGTCTTCCTCCTATTCCCTTCGCCTCTCCGTGCATCATGGCTCGCCGCGCCTCTTCGCCTGGTGCCGCCGCTGAGGAGTTCGCCGCCTTCGCGGCTATGGCTGGCCTGGACCTGGTCGGCACTACCTCCTCGTCGGCGCCTACGGCATCGGTGGATGAGGCCGCGCCCGCCATGGGCGTTGGGATTTCTGCCGGGCAGCCCACGTCGGGTGTTGCCTCGGCTGTGACGTCGCCTGCGCCGGGCGATGGTTTGGAGGATTTCGCCGCGCCGCCCACATCGGGCGAGCCGGCTTTGGTCGAGCCGACGACAGGTGATGAGGACATCGCGCCGCCTGTCTTGGGCGTGCCCTCGTCCAGCGAGGATGAGGAAGAGCTCCT